AATATTAACTATGAATAAGCTTGGCAAGAGCCTGAAATAATATCTATTATTATGGATTACGTTCTGCTTATAAATAAATAAATAAATGTCTTGCTAAGTATTAAGTGGTAAAAAGTAGCGTTACCAAAATAATATTATTAAATTATAAAAATATACAATGGATATTCAATGAGCTATCCAAATTTAGAGACGGTACACTAGCATGAAAATTATTATTACATCACATTGCGCAATTGTTATACCCGGTTTGTACTGAAAGAATGAGAATTGAAAAACTAAAATAGTTCCAAATTTCTCAGAGATTTCATTTTCAAGCACTTATTCTTATGTAACTTTTTTTACCATCAATATCAAAGTGCCAAAATAATATACATCCTTTTGGCAAATGAAAAAATATTCTCATGCTCCAGCATTCTCACAATGTGGGATAGTTCAAATTTTCTTATACACTCACAACTTGCTCTAACGAACAAATACATAAAAAAACACTATCTCGATGGTAAAGTATTTTTATGTGCGTCGATTTTTGCCTCAGGCTTTCCGTTACGATAAACTGGTGGTAGTTCAACAAGAGCGAAAAGGATGAAGTATCAAAATATCGTGCCAAATTACCATTCACAAAATTAAAGGAGACCCAGCGCCGATTCTTAGAAAAGAATACATCAAATATCTAATTCTCGTTTTTTTTCTAAACTAGGAAGGATATATAATATCGACTTACAGAATAAGTTGCCGATGGAAACCAGAAATTTAGATTTTGGTTTGCTCCAAATTTATATGATTTGTTTTCTTTAACACTTTGGGGACGGCTGTCCACCTCAGTGGACAAACAAACTCTGTGAGGCACAGGCTATTTTATAAACAAATACTCAGTTTGCATCGAAAAGTTGAATAAATTACATATAGCAGTGATAAACAGTATTCTATTTTGAAAATAATTTTAAGTTATTTTAGTAGTATATTTAGCCTTTTTCTTTGCTATATACTCTTTTTTTTAATATTTAAAACGACTGGTAAATTTTGTGAATTAAACAGTAGTGAAGATGAGTTTCAAATAGACATTCATACAGACAAATTTTACGAAATTACTTTTCGCACAGAAGATATTGATGAATGAGATGATGATATTATCCAACCAACAAAAAGAAGAAGTTCGACAAATTAAATGAAGAGAAGAAGAATGAAGATTCTCCTTCAATAATCGAGTTTGACATACATCAACAAACACCCCGACTACAAATACCAAGCAATATAAGACATCCAATCGATTATTTTACTTTATATTTTACAAATGAATTATTAGACAATATAATAGAAAAAACAAACCGTTATGGCAGCACAAAAATGAACAAATATACTGACTAATCAGTGGCATATTCTAAATGCGACAGAAAGAAAAAGGGATTGTATTGTCTGTTCTACCAGGAGAAGGCGGCGAACAATATTTTATTGTAAAACATGTGAAAATCAACCAGCTATGCATTTCGAAAATTGTTTTGAACGTCACCATTCTTTATAAAAAGATCAAATATAAATTATTATAAATGTATGTCCTTCAATGACCACAAGTTTTTATCAAACAAATTGCATAACATCCATTCATGTTTACAGCCAGTAAATTGTTTTGAAATTGGTGCCGTCCGATTAAAAAAAATCATAGTTTATAAATTTAAATAGCTTCTCGTCTATTCTGAAACAATGCTTGTTCCGGTATACGATAGTACAGTAGTAATATGTATACTAAATATAAAACTAGCACAATTTTATAATCCATTCGACATTTTGGCTAATAAAATATCGTGAAATATATCCATAAAACAAGTCGCCGAAAACAAATGACCGACTTCATGAAACCCAACGAGAGAGCGATTATCGGATGAAACAAAATCGAACATTGCAGAGCGGCCAAAGCAAAAAGCAAAACTCTACACCAACTGAAAAGCAGAATAGAATGAAAATGAAGGAATGAGGATAGAACTGTACAACGTGAACGACCCAGACAGTCTCGCCAAAAACGCGAGGGCAGGGGAACACAAGGCGAACGCGGCCAGACCCCATACACGAGAACCGGCAACATAGCGTAGAGAAGTTGAGCATGAGTTTAGTGGTGACAAAACACTGTTATAGATCGAATTCGGTGAGACTTTCTGATTTGATAATACCTTTCAGAGAATCGTCTATTTCGACTAATCTGTATCAAATTATTTTTAATTTAATTCATATTTATTTGATCATCTGAGATATAAAATCAATTGTACATGATATATATAGAGTAGAATATATTTTGATACATTTTACTCTGTATCGAAATATGACAAACAAAAAGTTTCAATTTATTACAACAAAACAACAATTAATAACATAACTAGCTGTAAGTGGAATTCTGTCTTAAGGCAATTAAGGCATAGTGTCTTAAGGCAAATTGCTGGAACTTCCCGTACCAAAAATTATTATTTTTTCGAAAACAATTAACATTTTTGAAAAAAATTTACTTTGAAAAAATTAGATTTTTGAGAAACAAAAAAAAATTGTTTGAAAAAAAAGTTTTCTTATTTTGGCATGGTTTGGAAATTCTGAACTTTTTTTCAAAGCAATCGTACTGCTTTAACTGCATAGAGACGAAATGTCAAAGCGCGCAAGCGCCGCGTCGCCATCTAACGGATAAACATTGATACGCAACCCATAGGAATGTAAACAAAATTCATACTTATTGTAAAAATCTCTATAAAATATCTGATAATTTGATGTGAATATGTCTAATGATCATTTTTGACCGCCAAATCGCTTTTTGTTTTACTTTTTTCATCAGATCTCAGAAACCGCTAGACCTGCCCTCATGAAAATTTGATCAATTCTTCATCTTATCAATACAAGTAAAATGTTTTATGAAGTTTTTAAATCGAACGCTCCGTTCTCTTAAAAACCGTGTTACCGTTTTTGGAACTTTTTGCCCCGTATCTTCGGAACGGCTAGACATGCCTCCACCAGAAACTAATCAGCACGTCTCCTTATCAGTACGAATCGAATGTTTTTTAAATTATTTAAATCGGTTGATCGGTGTTCTCGAAATCGTAACGAAAATTTGTATCCGAACACACACACACACACACACGCATACATCCATTTTTTCTAAGGCATGCCAAAATATTCAGAAACCTTAGAAACGTCGAGAAATGCAAAAATTTTCATTTTCAATTTTTTTGCGATTACTATAACTTACCCTACGGGAAGTTAAATAGAAATATTACGTCAAGAAATTCTAAAATTGACTACTGTATGATTGCTTATTAATAACATACTGTTACATCGTTAACATTGTTTCTATCTAGCAATTAATTCATATAAGAAACTAAGTACTGGTAAATGATATTTAATAGCTGAAAATTATAAAGCTTATTACATTTTTCAAAAGAATTAATCGTGTGCTACACGAAGTAAAAATGACACTATGTTATTGATAAACTAACAATTTTAAATTTTATTAAAAAAAATGATTATATATATATATATATATATATATATAAAATAATTCTGGATTTTTTTATATATTTGTCTACATTTGTGCGACAAAATTTCATCAATTGAAGTCAAGACAAAATTTTCAAATATTCTTAAATAATTCTTTTTACAAGTACTCTTTGCAAAAAAATAAGTGATATATTGATATATGATATATATCAAAATATATATGACAAAAAATAAATGATATAGAATATATGATATATATTTATAGATCAATATTGCAAATAAATAATTTTTGCTCCAAAAATTCTTATATTTATCTATATATTTTTTCTTCTTTAAGTAAAAATACATAATCCATTATTTTGTATATTTTGTAATGATTGCATATTCTGTAATCATAACCAATATTGTTATTACATGAAGAAATTGTTTTTGACAGACGGAACGTATATAATTTCAAGCCGTCGAGATTAAACATCAACAAAAAATAATTGTTTTTATTATAAATAAATATATCAATGTATATACTTTTTTATTATCATTGCATTAAAATTTGTCTTTATGTCGATAATGAATAATCGAAGGTAAGTCACTAAAGGATAGGAAGAAGAGGATGAACGCGACAGACACGGACCCCCACCATAACCCAACCATGGAAAGTACTAGAGACTAGACGCTTAACTGTATGCGGGGCAGGAGGGCAAAGGCACGACTATCCCCACCCAATTTTACCAACACTCTTTGGTGCCGTCTGTCACTGTGACAGAGCACACATTTTAATTTTCTAATTAATTTAGAGTTCGAAAAATATAAATACATATAGAAAAAATATTTTTGTAAAAAAGGAATAAAATATTTATTATTATACTTATAAATAGAAAATAATAATATATCGCAAATAAATTGGTTACTTCCATGCTCAAAATGTAATAATGTTATTTTTTGCAATTATGTCAATAATATGACCAATTGAGAAAACCTGAATTTAAATGGTGTATTTTTTTTTTAATATTTGTACTAATAGTAATATTAGACTTGCATTAAAAATATTGTGTATATATAAAAGAATAAAATATCATGAATTAATTCAGAGAATTAATAGGGCCAAAGATTAATAAAATGCCATGATTATACGAGAGTAACTTTCCAAAATAAAAAAATTAAATAAAATTATTCTGGCGGGAAATCTGAATCCTCCTAAAAATCATATAGATTTTCCAATGTGATATCTGATTTGAAAAAAAAATCTATTTTGCAGATCAAGTATTCTACTAAACGTCATTCACTCACGTGTGTGATATAAAACACCAACATTTAAATAAACCAAGCCTTCATAAAAAAATTAAACAAAATTCAAATTTTATCAATTACGAATAAATTAATTCGATTCAATTCGATTGCATAATTTTAAATGTTAAATTATCTCAACTAAGTCGCTTATACTGCTTTGCCGCCATTTTATACAACCGCAGCCGGCTTTGCTTGTCATGGTGACAGCGCGGCCAATGGCGGCGTAAACTCAAACATTTCAGTACCTGGAGATAGCATCTGCGATCTGTGAGTAAAATGACTTATTTCCATGTCGACTTCATGTTGCGGAGAATCCATAATAAGACCACGACCAATTGTTCTTTCCATATGATGAGGGTGCTGCATTATCGACGGTGGTAGCATATTAACACAATATATAACGCACTCACAATTTGAAGTTTGTTTGAAACACCGGAGCACTCACTATCCGATCTCTCGTTCGGCTCACAGTGTTTTACCACAACAATTCGCCATTCGCACAATATGTTTTTAAATATTTGATTTCACAGCACAAGTCTTGTTAAAATAACTAATTAATTCGCACAAAACACTACTTGAAAACACTGCGTTTTAAAAATCCAGGAATGACAGTGACAGTTACTACTGACGCGTACGCGACGGCAAACTCTCTTGACGTTCGGTTTCGGAACGACAATAGCGCGTCCCGCCACGAACGCTCGGCGCACGAATGTCAGCGGAGTCGCACGGCTGCCACCGAAAGCGATCGAATGTTGTCGGACTCGAGCGACGTAAGGGACGCATATATATGGCGTACTCGTCGGTCTCTTGGAATACAAAACGCACAAAACTGATTCTCGTTGTTCACCAAGCGAGGATCAGAGTGCTTTCATTGGCTGTCGCGGCAAAATCACCGACTTTTTCCAATCAGAAATGTTTGCACGCTGATTCTCCGATTGTTCTCTTACAAAATATGCCGGTTAGGATAAATACATTCGAAATGCCCGAAAAGCGCGCGGATCTTGCCTGACAGCTCGTTTGACGGGTGCGCGGAGGGTGTTATGTTCGGCTTGGTGTATGTAAACGGAAATCGACTGTCAAACGTACGTCGCATCGGCGATTAAAAATAAATATAAAACAAAGATTAAAAAGATTTCAACGTTCTTAACAAATCTCGCTTACAATAAAATGTTTGTTTTTAAAATTTTATATCAACTTTGTTATAAGTTAGATAATTTTATATAAACATTTCAATAACAAAATATGAATAAATCATTGATGTATTTATTATATTACGATACTAAACAAAGAACGTGCTATCATAATTAAAAACTGGTTAACACGCATAAATTAATTGAAATATACAATCATTAAATATGTAGTAATAAGAAATATAGGACAAAAATAATCAGAAGAACATTAATTTGATAAAAAATATCAATGATATATAACTTATTTATTTGGCAAGCATGGAGGTTTATCGCTTATACAGGAACTGATAAGATGCAGAAGTAATACTTTGAATGATATTTCATTACATAATCATTATCAAAAAAATTATCACCTATTTTTGACAGAAATTATCTAATACATTTTAAAATAATTTCAAATTAATTTTGCGCAAGTTTGGATTTTTGTTGTCGTTACTTATAAATTATCATATAAATAATAAATATAATAAAATAGTTTTTTGTATAATTTTAAATATTATGATTGCTCGCCCGTAGGTAAGCGGTTAAGAGCGACGGGACTTTTTTCAGAGGTCCCGGGTTCGATACCCACTTCGAGCAGCCTGTTGTCAGACAGCAGTGACAGTTTTCACTTGAAAATATAGATAGCAATATGTTTCCAAGCAAAAATAGCCCTTGCCCGGCATTGCTGCACCAATAAAATGTCAGCCCTATTAGATTAATTCTAATAACAAAATCATCAAATATGGATGAATTAACCATTGGGTTACCATCTGAAAAAAATACAAAGGAAGGAGAAGTTTCAGCCCAACAGCTCATAGGACGTAAGGTTCTGATTGCTGTTCAAAAATAATTATAAAAAAAAATTATGATTAATTGTATACTAACACATAAAATAAAAACAATATATATTGTAATATATATATATATATATATATATATATATATATATATATAGAATTTTATGATATGAGTGGAACGAATATTAATTGTTTAATATGAACAAAACAGCACTCAGATTTGTTTAACACAACTTTATTTTATGATTACAGACGTTTCGAGACCATGGTGTGTCTCATCTTCAGTGTAATTTCAAAAACAGTTACTTATATACTACACATTCTTTAATAATTTAGTTAAATTTCATTTAATTTTTTTTGTATATCAAAAATTAAATGAAATTTAAATAAATTATTAAAGAATGTGTAGTATATAAGTAACTGTTTTTGAAATTACACTGAAGATGAGACACACCATGGTCTCGAAACGTCTGTAATCATAAAATAAAGTTGTGTTAAACAAATCTGAGTGCTGTTTTGTTCATATTAAACAATTATATATATATATATATATATATATATATATATATCTATTCGTATGAAACATATCCGTTCCAAATTCAATTAATTTGGGCATCAATAATAAGAGTACGGGTCTGAACGTTTAGCAATACGATTTCAAAATGTATTGTGAATATTAAATAGCAGATAAAATATTCTGAGTACGCACCGCAGTTCTATTGTCATACACGTAAATTTTATGTTCATTCATAATGACAGCCAAACATTTATTGTACGTCGGCCTGTCACGGATATCGGCCGTTTAGAATTCATTGCTGAATATTATTAAATACGCTAGATGATAAACAAGGGATTTTGTATCAAGCAAAATTAATTATTAAATTATGATTTTGATGCAAAAATTTAGATTTTTGTAATACGCGCTGACCGTAATTGGGTTCCCTAAGGTGCTATTAGAGGATAGATTAGAAAACTTTTTTGTGACGTGGACTCCTTGGGCTTTGCCATGGACCCCCTATTTACCCGTCATCGATTTTTTTAAATAATTTCTAACTGTACTAAATTTTCGTAAGGCAAAAATTTTGATTTTGAAATACACGCTGACCTTAATTGGGTTTTCTAAGATGCTATTAAAGCATAGGTTTCCAAACTTTCTTGTGTCGCGGACCACTTGGGCTTTGCCATCGACCCCTATTTACCCGATATCGATTTTTGTTATAAATTTTTAACTGTACTGAAATTTATTATTTAAAGTAAAAATACATTTTACTTGTATACATTTATTAATTGAATTTAAAATAATATTAAAAAAAAATAAAGTAAGCAAAAAGTAATCGTTTTTATCAGCATTTTGCATCAATTTTGTAAGGTTAAATCGTACATCTCCTGGCTAATGATGATGTCTATTCTACATATTTTTCTACTGTCTATTTTACAACTATTAAATTCTTTATTATTTTTAGTCTCCATAAATACTAAACATTCTTGAAAGCGCAATGAATCTTGTGAAGTCTTTCAATAGTCACCAAATTGGGTCTTTACAAGCTCATCCTATTACGACCACAACTTAAATGCCTATTTATGCTAAAACATTTTTATTTCCCTTTACTTCTATTTATTTTATATTACTTTTTATTATAGATGTTATAATATAAGTAAATCGATTTCTTCTACCACTACCGTGAATCCCAATTTTTATTTCATGGATGTTGTCATAGACCCTTTGGGGTCCATGTTAACCACTTTGGGTGCTGGAAAAGCCACGTAAAAAAACGAGCTAAGCACACTACCTCGTAGGTGGCGTTTAAACGTACTTTTCAAAGTGATATATCTTTAAAACGGCGGCTCTGAGCAAAAAAAAGTATTGATGCATTTTTTTCAGATAATTTTATTCTCTACAATATTGTCTCAGGTAATTTTGCGATAAAACTGACCATTTAGCTAAAAATCACAAAAGGGTCATTTGTTTCACCTCTGACCTTGTGCCATCGGATCGATGAGGACTTTGAGATTTTTTTTTATAATCGTATTTTAAACAATTTTGCAATTTTTACATCCCACAATGATTTATAGTAACCTTGATTGCGTAAATTGACGGGGCTATCAATATTTCATTATGAATAAGATTTAAATATTGTCAAACATATTACTTTTCCTACATATTAAATATGTAGTATTACTTTACCTACATATTAAATATATGTTAAAACATATTACTTTCCCTACATATTAAATATATAGTATTACTTTCCCTACATATTAAATATATGTTAAAACATATTACTTTCCCTACATATTAAATATGAATAAACCTGAATGAGCACATTAACAAATATTAATAAATGCACAAAGTTACTGATGAAGACAAGCAAATAATTTATGATACATTTCACACACGTATCGCTAGCGCAAGCGAAATAAATTACATTTAACGAGCATCGCTCCTTGAATTTTGCGATAAGCGAAATAAAAAAGACCGTCTTTCCTATGAGGGAAGAAGTACAACCCATCCGGCTCATTGTGTTGTAAACCTTTGTAAGTCGACTGATTTAAATTTGCATGTCTGAAGTAGTACATGCGATATGTAAAATGAAAAAAAATAAAAAGATTTTTTTAACGTGAGCCCTTGTGCGACGGAATAATATGTTTTGGAGAGTTCAGTGGCCCGCGGACCGGACCGCGGTCGCATTTTGTCTCTATTGCAAAATGTAGATACTCGTCTTACCGGACGAGTTCACGCAAGTGAAACAGACGCCATATACGGATTAAAAATGAGGAATGATAAAAGGATTTCAAAAATTGTAAAATGATGTAAAACATTTATGAAATATTATTTTTATTATATTTTATCCTTTTATTATATTTATATTAAGCCAAAATCAATATATAAATAAAAACTAGTGGGGCGCATGGCATCGTGCCTTAAGGCAAATTGCTGGAATTTCCCGTACCAAAAATTTTTTTTTTTTTAAAAACGATTAACTTTTTGAAAAAAATTTACTTCGAAATAATTAGATTTTTGAGAAACTATAAATTTGACAAAAAATTACTTTTTTTCAAAAAAAAAAAATATTTTGGGAAAAAAATGTTTTCTTTATTTTGACATATTTTGGAAATACTGAACTTTTTTTCAAAGCAATCGTACTGCTTTAACTGCATAGAGACGAAATATCGAAGCGCGTAAGCGCCGCATCGCCGTCTAACGGATAAACACTGGTACGGAACCCATAGAAATGTAAACAAAATTTATACTTATTGTTAAAATCTTTATAAAATATCTGATAATTTGATGTGCATATGTCTAATGATCATTTTTGACCGCCAAATGGCATTTTTGTTTACTCTATTTACTAGATCTCCAAAACCGCTAGACCTACCTTTATGAAAATTTGATCAGTTCTTTATCTTGTTAATACAAGTAAAATAATTTTTGTATTATTCAAATCGGATGCTCCGTTCTCTTAAAAACTGAGTTACCGTTTTTGGCACTTTTTGCCCCATATCTTCGGAACAGCTAGACCTGCTTTTCCAAAATCTAATCAGCACGTCTCCTTATCAATACGAATCGAATGTTTTTTGAATTATTCAAATCGCTTCATCTGTGTTCCCGAAATCGTCGACGAAAAATTGTATCCGAACACATCCACATACACGCACACACACACATACACACACACATACATCTA